GACTCCTATTGATCCGTATAGAAGGATCATGTTCGAATTTGAATTCACTTATTGACCCGCGCAGCATCCCTTGACGTCACGTGTGTACCAATAACGCGCTCGCCGGAGCCCATGCGGGTGTTGATTGTATACCCTCTTTTAGTGTACCTAAGTGTGTACAAACTACAGTGCATGTGCGAGGGTATTTTGGAATATTCATGAAACGCCTTCTGTCCGCTTCCAAGAACGTCGCGGATCCGGTGGCGCGAAATAGCAGCTTCTGAACGGAGTTGTTCGTTTAAGTTGCAGATGTTTTAGATGGCTCATTGTTTGTACGATGAAACTCCCATGGTAACCCGTAGTCACTTTCACATGATATAGTCATTTGTATTTTGCTTGTGGACAATAGACTAGTGTGCTACGAGTCTTCTACAGTGGCCAATGGATACTTGCATTAGTTGTAGTTTCTTACACTCTGCTTGTGGGATATTTAGTATGTATGCTGGGTATTTTACAATAGCTTGCATATGCTTGCACTTGTCGTAGTATCATCAATCTTCGCTTGTAACGGATCAACGTATTTGCTCAACATTGGACAGTGATTGATTGTATAGGATTACTATGATTGCTCAAATAGGCTTTCTACCAAAGCTTGTAGTGACTTTTTGTGTGAACCTTTGCTTGCAAGCAAGTTGTATCACAACTTCATTTGTTTATCTATGTTTTTTTGAGTGCACTGAAGGCTTGTTCATCATGAGTCATTTTGCTTTATTGTTGATTTCTATTTCAATACTCTCTCCGAGTTCATTTGGTATTTGCTATTTGGTTGTATTTTCATTTGACTCTTACTTGAACGTTGATCATGCTTGGATGCCCTCCTTCACGAGTCCCTTGTTATATGATTCAAATTCTGTTTTGTATATGTGCTTGAACCTAAGTTCAGTGCCTCCTTGAGTTTAAATACAATATGAGTCTTTTACATTCATTCAAGTCCTTCAAGTTCTATGTCGCATTAAGGTCACTTCAGATTTGAGTCAAATGTTTGCAAGTTCAAGTTCATTGGATGCTTAAATCAAGTCCCTTGCTGTCTAGTTGAATTCAAGTTCAAATCCTTCCTCCATATGGTCCAACTTGCTTGAGTTCAAATGTCCAAGATCATGTTCAAGTTCTTTATTCTTCTCATTTGATTTTTAAATCAAATGTAAGTTCAAATTTTATACTTTCAAATATATTTGAATTTAAGTTCATTTAGGTCCATTTGATTCAAGTCCACAAGTCCCAAATTGCTCCAAATCCTTGTTTTATTTCATACAAAATTTCGGCAGCCTCACGGCGTCTTCCCCGTTTAGGGGAAAAACCAAGAGGCCGCCTACCCGTCACGTCAACAAAGACGTGCACGGTTGGTGTTTGTGAGACACCGCGGCGGTGATTTTTTTTTTCTCCCACCACGCCAACAAAGGCCTGCATGGGGTTTTAAAAATTATTTTTATGAAAAAGGCAGTTTGCTTTCCCCCCGCTTGGGGGTACTTATGAGTGACCCCACCTCGCCGTAGGTGCTGCACCGGGGTCCCATCCCACCACGAGCAACAAAGGCGTGCATAGGGCGATTTTTTGGTCCGCCACGAACATTGAAGTAAGTTTTTTTTTTAGGTGATTACCCGCCTCATCGTAGGCGTCGGACTGGGGTCCCATCCCACCACGCACAACAAAGGTGTGCATGGGCGATTTTCCGGTCCGCCACCAACTTCGAGAGCGAGAATCTGAGTTTATGGATTTTTGTACCTTTGCGGGGTTGTAGATGTTGGCACGTGGTTCGAGGGAGAGCTTGCCTACCTCGTCGTAGGTCCGGGTTCCCTCCTACCACGCTCAACAAAGGCGTGCATAGGTGGTTTGTCAGCCCGACACGCCATGCCAAGGTAAGAGAGGATTCTCTTTTATTTAATTTAATATAATTAATAAAAAGTAATTGTAAACTAATTATACTAATAATAATTATAATTAAAACTAATTAATTAACAATTAATTGAAATTAATTATAATTAGTAGCTAAATATATAATTTATAAATTAAGTATAAATAATCATAAGTAATATTAATTAAGATTTAAAAAATTAATTAAATGTAACTAATAAATTAATCATAATTAGTAATTGATTATAATTATATTATAATTAATTATCAATAATTAATTATGAATAATCATAGATAATTATTTAATTAAGATTAAAAGTAATTAAATATAATTAATTAAATTTAATCAAAATTAATAATTACTTATAATTATTGGTAATTAATAATGCTTAATTATAAATAATCTTAGTTAATCAAACATGATCAATTAAGACTAATGAAAGATTAGAGCAAAATTTGAGAGAATTTAGCATACATCCTCTATTTTCTCTGAATCCCGAATTTGGCCGAAGAAGCTTGTGATAGGGATAAAGTTACCTTTTCAGCTAACGGGCTCCCGTTATTACTCCTGGTCAAAATGTTGTAACCTCCGATCCTTACAAGAAGGGGAGTCGTGGAAGGAGCGGATGGAGGCTAGGGCAAGGCGTCGGTCACATGTAAGGAGAAGACTCCTTTCTCTCCTTCTCTCTCTCTCTTTTTCTCTGGATTAGAAGCAACGAGGGGCCAGCTTGAGCTCGGCAGTGGGAGAGGAAGACGGGAGGAGGGAGTCGTGTAGAGAGAGGAGAGGTGTTCGGGGCTTTCGGCCGAGAGAGGAGAGGCGTTGGGTCGGAAGCAGTTCGGGAAGCAGAGAGCGGGATGGGGGAATCAAAGGAAGAGCTCGTGCGTGGGAGAAGGAGTTCGGTCTGGGAAGCAAATGGAAGCAGCACTGAAGGCTCATCCTCGTTCTCCTTTTATCGACTGAGTGCAGTGGCCTCGAGGCGTCCAAGTCGCAGGAATTATGGGAGAAGTGACTTGAGCTGCGCAGACTCAGCAGGATCTCCGGGTTCGACAATCCGAGGTATGCGGAATCTCGACTGAAATTTCGGGATCTGGCAGAGTGACATGGAAAATGTATGTATCCTTTAAGCCTTTTTTTCCTTTTGGATTTACTGGTAGAGTTCAACAGAAAATTAAGAGAAATAAATATAGATCTCTCTTCTCTCTCACTCTCTCATTCTCTTCTCACATGCACCATTCTCAATGTTTACACTTTTAAAATACAAGAGAAAGCTAACTTCAAGGGACGCAAACCTTCAGAAAAATGAGAAAAAAAATCGTCCAATCCATCTCGCAATGCTACGATGCCATTTTGGGGCGCTGCGACGCTCAAGCCTCTGTCTTGCGCCGCTTCAGCGCCGTATCTATATCGTTGCGGCGCTCTTCTCTCTGTCGTTCAGCACTGGGGCGCACGGGTACGTAGCGCCGATGCATTGTACGGAAAAAAATTATGGGGTAAACTCCCCGCATCCCCTTATGTACACCAAAAGCTTTGAGATCCGAGACAACAGAATAACCAGAATGATCAACACAATCAGATTCTAAACATAACAATCGGGTAATCGAAATGCCACCATTTTATGTGATCAAATCATCTAAGACGACTCTCTCTAATCTTACCTTCCACTAGAGCTACTCCAACCTTTTCACGTATATGCTCATTTCGAAATACAACACAAAAGAAAATTTTATAAATTAGAACCTTCTATAAAATTTCATCATAACAAAGTACTAATATTAGAGAGGATCACCAAACTCTATTTAGTTTGGCCAGCCACCAATATCCAACCAAGAGATTTTTCAACCAATTTCAATAACAAACCAACATTAACTTAATAAACAATACATGAGAGGAAATTTTTTAAATTAAAAAAATGAGGGGGGTTAGGGGCACTAGTGTAACTAGCTCAACTCCTTCCTCCAATGCATCACTTGGTCGGCCGCTACTCCCATACATAAGCTGATCACTCCACTCCAACTTAGTCATTTAATTGGGTTAATTAAAATGGCTAACACAACACATGAATGCAATCACACTTACAAAGGCACTATTACAACTATCTATGAGATAATACATCACATCCAATTGGTCAGGCCCTTATATTGTAGAAGTAATCAGAGCATTGAGGCCTTGCTAACTCCAAATATGTGAAAGCAAGGAGCAACAAAGAACTTGGAATGCCTTCGACTTAAGGAACTAATCCACATGAGACATTTGGTGACATCCTAAGAGTTTTTTATGCTAAAACTAGTTGTTTAGTAGAAGAAGCATCCACTTGATGCTAAGTGAAAAAATAGTTTTGAAACCCTTCACCAGCAAGGAAATAACTCCAAAGTATAATAGTGCACTAGTAGTCAAATACTATAATAGCATATTAGATATCAATATAGTAGCACAATTTGTTATGATTCAATAATTATTTGATATTTGATCAAATCTAAAAATACTTATTAGTAGACAATGGTGGTCAGGAGATGATCATGAAGTGATAGTGATATGGCAATGAAGGTCAAATGACAACAATCAAGCAATGGCAAATGGATGATGGCGGTTGGGCAATGCTGGTCGAAGGATGACGTTTATGCAACAACAATCAAGCGACGATGGACAAGAAACAATGGTAGAGTAATTATAGTTTACGATGGTGATTTTTGATCGTTAGACAAAGCTCTGAAATTCTTCATATTATTAATAAGCTCTCGAATTTCATGTCATCATAATGCGAAGAATGTGGGTCTGCTTATAATTTCTTATAGTGTCATGTTAATAACTTTTACCAAATTCGCCAAATGCGCCAATCTCCAATGAGCTACCTTGTTGATTTTCCCCATGATTGATCGTTTATAAGGCATTTAAATGTCTTAATGACATTAAATGAGTAATTTTGGACTTGGATTTCACTCATCGAGATACTTGTTTTTAATTAAGCACGCAAAATTTAGAGATCGTTTAGTCCTTGAAATAATGTCCTGAAACATCTAATATCCCAAACCTAACCCCCGATCAACAATCAAATAGTCAAAGAAGGAAAAATACACAACCAAGAAATCATAGACCAAAATAACGAAATTACCTGGCGATTGAGCGTAGTAGGGTCATGCCGAGCCCAAAAGACATCAAGCAGATCCTCATAGCGGCACTGGTTGGGATCGTACTCCAAGCGTACGATCTCCGAGTGGCCAGTCTTCCCCGTGCAAACGTCCTTGTAAGTCGGATTATGAAATTTTCCCTGGCTGTATCCGACCTCTGTCTTCGTCACGCCGGGAACCCTCTGGAAAGCTAGCTCGACGCCCCAGAAGCACCCTGCACCGAACTGCGCCAACTGCTGCCCCGCAGCCGGCACGTCGTTGTCCGGCTCGTAAGCTATCTCCGACGACGAAGCGGCCATTGATGAGATCCCCGCGCTGTTGCCGAACCCAAACCGAAGTTTCCCCAACCAGCTGGTCCAACTCATTGACGAAGGAATGTTTTGAAGGAGCTCGGGAAGTTAATACCCCGCAGCACACACGTGACTCGGCACAACTCAGTTAACCAGACATATAACCACAAAAATCTTATCCTTATTTTCTTAATTTTTGTTCTTAATTTCTCCTTAATAGACAAACACTTGACCAATAAATTTTCCAGTTTGATAAAGAGTTAGGCTTGATTTGAGGAGAAATTATTTTATGCGGAGGTCGGATGCAGCCTATGTCCGAAGGCGAATCAGGTGCAATCATATCAGCAGTATCAAGCCGCAATACCGAGCAATATCGAGCCTCGGTACACATGGAAGGTGTGACGTGACGCATTCTGATTGGTTTCCAAATGACGAATTTTTATTGGGTTTGGTGTCCTGTACCTAGCGATACCGAGCATGTACTAAGCGGTATCGAGCATGTACCTAGCAATACCTAGCAGTACCGAGCTTGTACTGAGCGGTACCGAGCATGTACCTGCTCGGTACCGAGCATGTACCTAGCGATACCTATCTTTTTTCAGGGTTGGGTAGTCGGGCCGTCATCTTTCAAAAAATGCACGTGTTATATACCCACTTTTCGGCGGGCCGGGCCCGCAATAATGTGGCCGCTACATGACACCATTTTACTGGTGTCCGAACGTAGAGTTACGTCAGGACACCCGACCCAATAAAAATTCCCAAATGACATTCGGCATCCGCACATAATAATTAATCTCATTTGAGACGATTTTTTTAATGTTTTTTAAAATAAAATTTTTAAAAAAATTACTATAAAGCTATTTTAAAGCTTCATTTGAGATAACTTTCTTGTTAAATTTTTATTCTTAAAAATTATTTTAATAAGCATTAATAAAACGATCTCAAATAAAACCAGGCGGTCTGGACAAGATTATTATTATTCTTTTTTTCAAATACATTCCAAATTTAAATTAGAAAATGCTATTTTTTTTAAATCATATATATCAGGGAATACTTTTTATGATATATTACAAAAAAATACTGTAAAAAAAACTCCTTTGCTTACAAATTAACCGCATATAAATCAAGCGTACAAATCAAAGGGCTCTCCTCAATAAACTTTTTTTTTTTTCTCAATGAACATATCCTGGTCACTAGACTCTGCGTGAAGTCAATAGAGAAGGATCTTCTCAACTCTATTCATCAAAAGAAGGGTTTATGCTTACAAGTTAACGTCACTATGTTATTTAATATATTACTTATATGATTCAGTATATAATATGCATTAATTTTAGTCGTAGATATTAGAAATTTATTGGGTTATAATCCTTATTATGTGATTTTTAAATATTTTCAGATAAAGATAAGGAAGCTTGATGATGATCTGTGTGCTGACTTCTAGTAGTTTTTTTTTTTTTTAATTTTATAGTCATATGTTCATTGAGATGAGTTAATTTATTTTATGTCAGGATTATTATACATATATCATTATGGGCTTGTATTAGTTATACATATTGAATAAATATAGAACAAAAACTATTTCTTTTTCTACTATTTCTATGAAATTTGTAAGTTTGGATTGAATGATTAAATGGTTGTAAATGTAAATATAAAAGATATAATTTTTCCCAACTTAAATCTTAGTGCGTGACAATATTTGTTTTGAAATTCATCCACTTGGCAGACCCAAATTGTGTAAAATACTAAAATCTAATAATAAGCATGTCATAAAAGAAGGAAGGATTAAAAAGGGACAAGAAAGGAAAATAAATAAATAAGAGCAAGCCTTGCATTATTCAACTAGATGGCCTCCTAGAAATTCAAGTTCTTCAGTTGATCAAGGGATTGACTCCAAAAGAAAGAATTGAAACAGCCCCTTCTACCATTATAAAAGTGCTTTCAAATTTGAGAATTGAAAGCAAATTTCTAAATAAAGAATCACACGTGTGTCTTTCTCTCTTCTACCAATTTAGGGTGTGTGTGTCTCGAGAGATTATTAGGTGCGGAGTGCGGACGGGGAGAACCGTCCGCACAAGCCTTATTCCTCGCTAGGTACCGGCACTCGGTACCGCTGGGTACCGCTAGGTAGCGGTACCCATGTTTGTGCGGACGGTGCACATTCCGCACCTAAAAATTTTTCTAGCGGTACTCATGTTTGTGCGAACGGTGTACATTCCGCACCTAATAATTTTTCGTATGTCTCTCTCTCTCTCTCTTCGCGTGCACGGCTCCCAACTTCATATTCGCACACACGCTGAGCACTCTTCCTTTCTCTCTCGTTAACATCGCACGAAGTATCTGTAATAGCCTATATATTTACTATGCTAAATATTTTTTCTAGAGTCATTATAAGTCTAAATTATAAACCGTCTTCACCATAGCTTTCATATTGTAGTATTTTGCTTGCATGAATTTTTTCATAATTTTTTGACACAGGTAAAATTTTTTAAGAAATTGGCACATATCTCTGCAAATAAAGATTTTAGGAACGTCAAGTGTCTGTTTTGCAAACTGATTTTGTCAAAATTTTCTAAATAAAATGATTTATTTTATGAATATTTTTCTATAATTTTTGAAGCAGCAAAATAATTTTCATGAATTTTATACTAAAAAAATTAAATTAATTATATAATATTAAATTATTATTTTAATTAAAATATTCTAATTCATTGTTAACATTTATTAAAGCCATTTATTTTTCTTCATTCGGTCCAAACAAAAACATGGTTTCAGATTTAAGAGAGAAAATATGAGAGAAAAGAAAATTTGGTCAATTGGGACAGTTGGGAGATTTGCTCTTCCAGGAATATTTACCCTATTTTTTATTTCACGGATTTTATATTTTTTATTATTTTTTCGATCAAATTTGTGTTTCCATTACCAAAAAATGAGAGTAATTTTGTATTGATAAAATTTTCACCACATAACTTATTATATGTTATAGAGATTAAGATTATGAACATTTTGAGTACTTATTTGAGATTTTTCACTATGTGAATTGGAAAATACAACGATTTTTTATCTACTAAAAAATTTATTTTGATGCCTAAAAATTTATTTAATTCAACTAAAGCTTTAGAATATTATTTTATACAATATTTGATAATTTGGTTAAATTAAAAAAATGTGAATTTTTTCTCAGTATAATTTTTATTATCTGCCGTTATGACATTCTGAAACTTTCTGAATTAAGCTTAATTATGCATTATTTATTACAATGAAATAAATGTGGATATGTGATTGCGTAATAGTTGCTTATTATTACTGTTATAGTATTATGATAATAATGTGTATAAAAGATAAATAAAGTCTAGTTAACTCATTGATTAGAGACTGATTAAACTGTACATGAGGGTGGGCTGATGGATTTATTTTAATATTGTGGTTTGGTGTTATCTTCTGCTGATTCACATGATACATTAAGGAGTGATAATGGAATGATTACTGTACCAAAAAATAAATAGTGACAACTCTATTTATTGAGCCAACGGTTTACTAACACTGATACAATACTGAAAAAATCTTGATAGTTAGAATTCTTATTTGTTTAGTGTGACTACTGAAATGAATATTATTGAGACATCGTTCATATTATTGTATGGATTTATTATTAACAATATTACTGATTTATTAATACAAAAGCATGATATATTCATTAAGCATGTGATATACATGATATATTGAGCATGATATTAAGATATTGATTTAATACTGGTATAGAATACTGGATAGCATATATACATTTTTATATGATTTTACTATATTGCTTTAATTTCAATGATCTTTACTGATGTTTTGATTTGATGCTTTATCCCATTTTTGTACTAATTAGTATAACAGATACCACGATTGTTTTATAGATTTAATACTCATACTTGTTTATTGGCTTCCGTACCGCAATATTTTACTATTTATAGATTCTACCACTATATGTGAATTTTACTGTTTCTGCAGTAATTCAATAATCATATGAATGCAACTTTTATGATTTGATCCCTGACATGTATGTTACTTCTTTATAGTGCTTTGAATCAGTTGCAGGTTTTGTTCACCTATTTGATTTTTTAGCTCATTATATGTCGTTAAATGATTTCAAGTCAAGACAGAGGATAATGAGTGTGAACTTATCAAGATTTCTCATATAATGTTTCATTTTATTTATGTTATTCTTTTGTACACATGACAAAATAGTTATAATATGATTGCGTAGATCCATGGTAATATACATTATATTTGGAGAAATGAATTATAGAATATATTTTTGCTGTGTATTACTAAAAGATGATATTAGATAGCTCTGATTATTATTTATTAAAAGAGAAAATAATCATTCTTCCAAATTAGATTATGGATCATCATAGTCTGGAAGATGTCCGATGTCCGCGTTGGCTTTGTAGTTCACACACTATGAAGGAGAACAATAGAGCTATTGCATTGAGTCTCTTTCTCTCCAGCAACCTTTAACAGATATGCCCTTCGCCTGCTCTCGAGACTGTTTCTTTTGTACTCACCAAATTTTATATCGCCATTCTATGAACTCTAACAAGCCAATACTCTTTTAAGCAAGTTTATGCAAGAGGACCTCTCTTTTATTAACCGAATCGGATTTTTTTTTTCAATCAGAGCTTTGATCAACAAAATATCGATATTTAGCAAATGATAAATTCAGAAGTTTGCAAATGCGGTCAAAATATGCATTTTAATTTTTGATGTTTGTTGTATTGTTTTTGATGTTTTGTCACCTCAACAAGATGAATATTTTGTTGGTTAAGGGGAGATAGATTCATCTATAGTTGGAAGTAGTAGCAAACATTTTTTTTCTTTAAATTTTGCAATTTGCATCGAACAACACCAAACATCATAAATCTCACTGTCCAACTAATCTTTATTTTTCAATTAAATAATGGCATAGCGAAAAATGGCATAGCGAAAAATGTTCGGCATGTCCTAATATGACTGGAGCTTAATCTGGATGCGCCACATCTTCAAATGTATTGTGTGCATTGGGTGACATAGCGTGTTCGAATTGACCTCCAAACGTATCTGAACACCACACATAATAATTTTTCTTAGCATGGATGGTAAGGGGTGAAATAGATGCTTTGCTTTCTCTAATAATTTCGTTGAAATTGGGTTGAAGTTCGGTTCTTGAGATTTTTTAGCTTAATGACATAAAATTGCATCAATTTTACTTTTCTTATTTTCAATATAAACAGACTAATATTAAATTAATAACATAGGTTAAAATATTTATAATAATAATAAATTAATATGAATTTGAAGACAATGAAACTCTTTATGCCACAAATGGTTATATGAAATGATTTTATACTGACTCTCAATTCTTTACATTAACAGTTCTAAGACATAATAATAGATTTGCCTACAGAAAAACACCTGGAGCAAATCTGGGCAAATTCTGGAGCAAATTCTCAACTGATCGTCCCAGGAAGATCCCAGATCGTCCTGGACGATCTTGGAGCAGATTTTGATATTACACTTAGGTCTAGAGTTAATGAGTCTGTATCATCATTTGCATTATTTACATAAAGAGATTTTAACTAGGATAAATCAAAGCAATGCAACTTACAAATTTTAGGCTGACATTAAGAAGCGGTTCAGAAGTTTTGAAGTAGGTGATTAAATGATGGTTTGAATTTGTTCGAAACGGTTCCCAAAAGAGGCTATTAGGAAACTACATACAAAGAGTGCTGGACCTTTTGGAGTGGTGAAGAAAATTAATGGCAATGATTATATTGTGGATCTTCCTTCAGATTTTAGCATAAGCCCCTCCTTTAATATAGAATATTTAGTAGCATATGAGAGACCTGATTTTAACCCACTGAATCCATTTTGTTGAGCCTTGTGTGAACCCACCTAGTGAGCACCCTAGCCTACCTCCACTACCCAAATTACCCAACTCAACCCAAGCAAATAAAATTGATATCATTTTGAGTGATGAAATCATTTTTACTAAGGATGGAAGAAGAAGAAGATATTTGGTTAGGTGGAAGGATAAGTTGGAGATCAAAAATGCATGGCTTAAGCATGAGGAGTTGCAGAGGATCGACTCGAATTTGTTGGAGCTATACAAGAGTTCACATACAGTTGACCCGGCATGGTCGAGTTTTCTCCCACTCCGGGAGAATGATGGGGAAATCATAGCTTGGAGGGTTTTTCACCGTAGAGGCTGGAGATCTATAGCCTTAATTGAATTTTTATATTTTTAGTTTTCATGTGTTATAAAAAATTTATCTGATATCATTTATTTTATTACAATTTTACCCTCAATTGAGGGAGTTTTTGTGTTGTTTGGCCAAAGACCTTATCTTTTGTTTCTTTCATGTTTGGGTGCCTATATATATGACACATTATTCTCTTGTATTGATGATGAATATTTTGATATAAATTTATGGTTATATGCTTCATCATCTCTTGTTGAGTTGAGTTTGTGTGTGAAGTCCTTTGGAGAAAGGCAAAGAAATACCCAACAGCGTGTGAGCTCTTGGTTGGTATCATCTTCTCTTTCTATCTCTTTCTTCTCCTTCTCTAGCCACCCAAACAACCTCCCACCAATGCAGCAATTTGTTGTCCTCAACCAGCAGCCACCTCCCTCCCTTCCCCTCTAACCATCTCTACCTTCTCCCAAACACCCTTGACACTTGGGCTTTCCAATTTTGCAATAAATTTACATTAATTGAGCATTTATCTCAATTAATTGTGACATTTGAAGATCCACAATAGCTTTAAAATTTTCCTTTCCCAAGCAAGCCACATCAGCACTTTCTCTTCTCCAAGCAGCCAACCCCACTTCTTCACCTCCAAAGCTGACTTTTCCTTTCTCAAGCCAACTAATTCACTTCCCAAACAAGCCACATTAGCCCTTTCTCTTCCCAAAAAAGCCAACCTCACCTCTTTACTTCCAAGTTGACTTCTCCCTTTTCAAGCCATTAAAATCGGTCAAATCATCCCTCCCCTCCTCCGCCCAGTGCACCCGGCCTAGCTTACCCCTCCAAACCCCAAAATCGTGAACCTCTCCACTTCCAAACTCTCATCTAGCTGAAACTTTCTTTTCCCTCCCCACTATTCTACCTCTCCAAGGAAACCTAGCTTCTACTAATATAACAAGAACATTAATTCAACAAAGATCAAAGGTTTCAAGGGCAAGCCAAGGAGGAACTAGCCATCATTTCATCAAAGATTTCATTCCTCTCATTCATGAGCTTCTTCCCAAAACTTCCCTCAAGATATGCCTTGAATTTGATGGTACTAAGGTGCAAGCTCGCCGGAGCAACCGTGTGGAACCCCCTCAAAGCTCCCTTGAAACCCCTTCAAAGGATCTTCTTTCTCTCTCAAACTCCACCCTTTCCTCTCTCCCTTTCAAGCTCTCTCTTTAAGTTTCCTCCAAAAGAACAAAGCTTCAATGGCTTCCAAAGACACGCTTCATGAGAAAGTAAGAGGTCTTTAAATAGATTTGCAAAACCGACATTATCGTCCAAGATGATCGCCAGATCGTCCCGTACGATATGTATAAAAAGAGAGCTTCTGAAAACCCTAAAAACTCAATTTCGACGCGAAACATCATCCAGGACGATCACAGGATCATCCCGTACGATGTGCTTAAAAAGAGAGCTTCAAAAAACCCTAAAAACTCAATTTCGGTGCCCAGAATCGTCCTGGACGATCGCAGGATCGTCCAGTATGATGTGCAGAATTTGACTTGATAGTCCTGAACGATATTAGGATAGTCTAGAATGATTAGTACAAAAAATGTGCAAGTCATCCAGGACGATATTGTGGATCATCTTGGACGATTAGAAGAAAAATTATGGTATTCAGCTTGGACGATTTAGTACCAAATCCTTTCTTGTTCTTCATCTAACTAAATATTGGTCTTATTATTTCATCTATAGTAGCATCATCTCATATGTGTTGATTAATCAGCCAAGTTTTACTTAAATTTGAGCAAACATAAATTATAGTGGCTAGTCTCTTAATTAAATGTTAGACTGGTGCCAACCATGTTAGCTAGTCTAGATTGATTCACCTTTTATTATTATTTAGCCTTTACTTGTTAGTTTCTTACTATCACATGATCTAATAATTCAATTTTTCTTATTATTCTTAATATTTTATGAAATTTATTTTGTTGCCTTTGATGTTATCTTAGCATAAATCTCTATTTACATGACTTATTTCGCTTAGTCTTGCATCAGTAAGCATTTAGGATATTATCTAATCAAATAATTCTAGTGCAACAAAAATCTGTATTAGACTCTAACCAACACTAAGGCTTCATTTGAAACAATTTTAGATCATTACTTATTCCTTATTTTCAATATATTTTTATACTGAATAATAGCTTTACAAAACGATATAAAAGCCATCCTAAACAAAGTCTAAAATTCAATTAATATTTTATTACTCTATGGTCTTCTAATACCATACATGTTATCTACAACATATGCAAACATAAACATCTTGATGTCCTAATTTGAATGGTGCATCATAGACAAATGGAAAATTGTAACATCCATGTTTCAATTACGAGCAACATACAATTCCAGAAGCTAAATCTAGAAGCCAAATATTCTAAGTACTAAGGTTTCATTTGGTACTATTTTCTTATTGTATCTTAAAGTAACTTTTTAATACAAAAATTAAAATTTTTATATTGAAAAACTGCTTTAAAAAACAGTAAGAAAGACGTCCCAAACGAAGCCTAAGACTTAAGACAATATCCAAAGAATTTTTCTAAATGAACCACTAAGCATTAAGAGTTTGAATACTGTATGAGCATCTATAAAACAAGCATCAACCATAACAGCATTAGTCTCCTTCACTACAAATCAGACATGATATATACATCAGCAAAATACAGGAATGCACAAGCCTTGCATAAAAGCAAACATTTAGAAGCTAAATTTATGAAGGAATTACTGAACAAAATAAAAGACGCCTATTTAAAAGGTCGAATAGTTTAAGGAACAAGCTTTTGATACCATAGGAACATCTTTATTATAAAAAACGTCAGCCATAACAGCGAATGGGATCATTGCAGCCTTTTGAGGCAGATTGCTGGAAACCAAAGCGGCCTCCTTTTTCAAGGTACTGTTGATGGTATTCCTCTGCCCTGTAAAATTTCTTTGCAGGAAGAATCTCTGTGACAATCTTCCTGCCCAATGTCGTCTGGTGCCTGTCTAAAGATTCCTTGGCAGCATTTTCCTGCTCCGGGGTGTAGTAGTATATCCCAGAACGATATTGAGTCCCCACGTCATTACCCTACAGGATAAAAATGATAAGAATTATCAGTTTGGAAAGAAAAGTGAGCAATTGAGAATCCTATATATTATTTTCCCCTAAGATAAAAGCAGCGTGGATTGTAAGTAGAGCCCAAATCTGCAAGATTTAAAGCCAATGCTTGAAATGCATGGTAATCAGATATTCAGATTTAAGGTTCTTCAGAAGAAATTCACATGTAAATGCATAAATCATAGGGCAAAACACTTCATCAATTGCAAGATATTATTCTGTGCGGACGCTGAATGTTGTTCACCGTCTGGAGGCTAACCAGAATGTGCCACGTCAGCAGTACCGAGCACGGTATCGAGGCGCGTACCGTGCTCGGTACTACTGATGTGGCGCATTCTGGTTGGCCTGCATCCGCACAGAATAATTTACCCCATCATTGGTGCATTAATCATTATGCATTCCACCTGGGAAATCAGCATAGAATGGCAGACAAAATGATAGAACTATTTCAGCATCTAGAACTGCATCTTTATCTCACTAAAATTTTGCATATGCTCATAATTTAGTTTCAACAGTCCTAGAAGAAGTATGCTTCTCAGCCACATAGAGAGAGAGAGAGAGAGAGAGAGGTGTTAAGCTGGAATTCTTTTTCTTTTAATTTCTATATCACAAAATTCAACTAAAAGATATGGATAATCAAAGCTCAAAATTTGTGTTGCTGAATTATTCCTATTAATGACACTACTTGAACATTGAATGTAAAAGAAGAAATACAAAAAGTGGGTATAATTGAAGCACATAAGTCTAAAGAAGAATTCAACACAAAATAAATAAAAAATCAATCCAAAAGCCATAGTGACACATGCTAGCAATGCAGAAAGGTTGGCACAAAAGATAATTGTCCAAATAAGAAAAGAGGAAAAAGGTGTAAATGAATGTTACCACAAAAGAGCTTCAAAATGGGTTAATCCTTTCTGTTGGCAATCCTATAGAGTCTTTGTATCTGGACACAAGTGCTCATTTTCACTCGACATAACATAAATAGCTCATGTCTAACTATTTTGAAGAACATCAAGAGAAAATCTTACTTATGACTTAATATAGTGAGACTTGGTGACATTCAAAACAAAATTGTTAATAGAATTATATGTAAGTATTGAAATGAATATAAATTTGATCTCTATTAGTTTAAAAAGAAGGGGTAACTCAACCTCAACACTGACTTTAGAAAGTTTAGCAAGGGTGTTATGATGATAGAATCTGGTAAAATATGAGCAATCATAAAGATCACCCTAATTCATAGACATGGCATCAAAAGTTGGGACATATGAATGAGAAAGAAATAAGAGTTTTATGTTAAAAGCTAAGGACAAATTGGTCGTGTTTTGTATTTGTTTTTTTTTTTATACCTAAAACAGAAGCATGTTTGGATGTCCATTTGTTTCTTATTTTCATAATATATGTTTTGGAAACAAATGAAAACACCTAATTATATATTTAAATTTCTAGAAAAGCTAACTTGCTTCGAAGAATAAAAACAAGAATATTTCCTAATTTAAGTGTCTATTTGTCAAAGCATAAAACACAAACACAAACAAACATGTGCTAGATTTTCAAATTTGAAAAATTTATTAAGGATTTTATCCATGGAAAATATAGAAAGATTAGTTTTTCTCAGGTATTGCAGGCAAACCAAAACAAAACAATTAGAGCTTATGCATGTTTGGAAACCATCCCCAATTATATCCCCTACTGCCTCACTATGTCACCTTCATTGGTGACTCCACTAGAAAATCATATGTTTACTTTCTAAAAAAGTGATGACTTGATATTCTTAAAAGATGAAAAAGCTTCGTAAAAAATGATACAGTGAAAAGTAAAGGGCATAGGAACAAAAAATGGAGGAAACTATGACAATTGACAATAAGAAGTATAAATAGTTTTGTAGATAAGACAAGATATAGATGGTTCTCCTATACATAGAAATAAAAAGGGAATACAGAGAGAAGCATAGGTTGAAGCTGGAGTTAAAATAGAAAAAAACATTGGTTAGCTTTTTTGTTGGTGCTAGCAATGAACTTCCACCGTGTTGTGCAAGTGTGTTAATGTAATAGACAATTGTGGTGGCATTGAAATAGATGTGATGGTGCGAGAGAAAGTATGGTTGAGTCGGAGGTAAGATTGGCGGTGCCATAAGATATCTCGTTGCCGTGAATAGGGACTATAACTCAAGATTATTTATATCAAATCATCTAAATCTTTTACTTTATTGTTTGGTCCTTTTTTTCCCAATATTTAAAGGATTGAATGAAAAGGAAAATTATAATATCCTTGTCAATTATGGTGACTATTTATCTCTATTTAGTCATAGACTTAGACAAAACAATCTTACCGAACCAAGTAATTTTGGTTTGGAGCCTTTTACAATTTTTTTAATTCTCATTTTGCTGAAGGTTATTTTTCCAGTAAGAGAAGAAGGGATGCAACCATTATGATAAAACAAAAAAAATGTAATGCTATATAGTATATTCTATGATGGTAACATCATGTGTAACAAGAAGCACTGGCAATGCAAGGGGACAAACACATAAATAAAAGATAGCATGTCCGGCCAAAGATTTCAAATGGTTAGAAGTCATTGATCATTCATCTAGAATTAACACAAGTGCAACGCTTAATAGAAATGGTTGGAAAAAAAATTACAAAGCCAAACTAAAACAATCAGGATCAAGGAAATGCGCTGAGAGAATAAAATGCATGCAGTGACTTTCCTATCATAAATAAATGACTACCCAAAAAAAAAAGTTTGATGGCCTACTTAATTTTTCTTCAGCTTAAATATCATAAGTTGCAACCCCCAAACGGTTCAGAAAGGAAGTGATACAAAATAAACCAAGTAATACATTAGATTTCCAAATTTCATTCTTCCATTGCGGAAAAAGAAGAAGTTTGACCCATGAACTCATGATCTCCTTAAATGCATGACCATGTTTATTAAAGATATAACTTATAACTTCTAGAAAGTTCATTAGTCATTACAAAGTCCATGATCTAATTAAGAATTCAGTCAAAATATCTCATTGAAAATATAGGGGCAGTTACATGTCTAACACAAATTTTGTACATTCATAAAACTAAAAAAACAACTTCATTCATTTTCAATAATACCAACCAAAACTCAAAAATCACAACAGAACCCCAACTCATATTTATAATTTTCATTCATCAAATTTCCAACAATTTGATAGTGACACACGTAAATCCCCATATTTGATAATTCATGTTTTGAGGTAGGCGTTAGATTTTATAAATACTTATGATTAAGGTGGCATACATAACCCTCCATTAGAAAATAGTCCACAACAATGTATTTTTTAGTTTCGTTAAAGCTTTCAAAAGAAAGGGTTCATGCAAATAATACAGATATATTGATTGCACGTCAATTTCATTCAAGTCAAACAGTCATGACCCAACATTTAAGGACAAAATATGCATTTAAAACCATTAGGTTATGTCCTTTTGGAGGCATTGGCATTCCTCTGATATGATAAGAGATTTCCAAAAACCAATTTTTTTATAACAAAATATGCACAACATACAACAACAACTACAACATCAAGCCTTTATCCCACTACGTGGGGTTATTATGCACAACATGATGACAAAAATCAAACAGGCACATTAAAACTGCTTCATTTACACAAGGTTGAAGTAGAAAGATAGCTGTTCCTTCTATCATATTTTTCGCATACTTTTTGTCAAGGAGAAATAACACACCTCGTTATGCTAAAAGGATAAATGGACCATATTTCTTTATTTAGTTTAAAACACTTCAACATGCTGCCAAGATCCCCTCAGCTTATGAGAGTTGGATGGATAACTTAGATATTGAATTTAAGAGATGCAACCACCATTTTATTCATTGAATGATATTTTGCAACTACATTCTTCCGTGCAGAAAAAATTGAACAGGTTTTCAATACAGAGTTAAAGCTGATGGCAAAAATCGAAAGTATCAATCACATTAAATGAAGACATATTATATACATCAGACAAACCTTATTAAAAAACAGTGTGATTTAACCGATAAACAAACACTCATCAACCGTCGCCTACCAGTTCGAAACACAGCCACCAATTCCAAAAGCAAGACTAACCCATGTTTCCCAGATTTCAAATAGTTAAAAATTCGAAATATTACACATTTCATGTTTCACTCCTTCAAACTCTAGAGAACTCCCAAAATTTCACTTTATTGCTTCAACCAAATTACCCAAATGACAAATTGGACACTTGAGCAGCATGTCAAGCGATTCAACAACAAAAATAAAAAAAAAATAGTAAAATTACCTGGCGATTGAGCGTAGTAGGATCGTGGCGTGCCCAGAAAACATCAAGCAGATCCTCATAACGGCATGAATTGGGGTCGTACTGCACTCGCACGACCTCGGCGTGGTTCGTCGTCCCTGTGCACACATCTTCGTAAGTCGGATTATGCGCCAGCCCCTGACTGTAACCGACCTCCGTGTTAGTAACGCCCGGAACCCTCTGGAAAGCGAGCTCGACGCCCCAGAAGCATCCGGCGCCGAACTGTGCAAACTGCTGCCCCGGCGCTGGCACGTCGTCGTCCAGACCCTGAGCAATCGCCGCCGATGACGTGTCCATAGATGAGAGCCCCGCCCGATTTCCGAACCCTAACCAACCTAGCTTCCCCAGCCAATTCATCGACGTTGGGAATCGGCTCAAGGGCGAGGAAAGGGATGATGAAAGGAGGTTCGATTTAGGGGGAAAGACGGTGGAGAATTGTCGGAGGTGAGGGAAGCAGGATAGAGAAGCGGCGACGAGAGAGAAGTGAGCGATCGTAGGCGAAGCCGTGGGTAAGATTATGTTCATTGTGGCGTGGAAAAGAAGCAATGGAGTGAAAGAAGACGACGCAAGAGCTTGCTAAAATCCGAGTGGAGTCCGCTCACCTATTTACGGTAACCTCCACGTATTTCCTTGACTCAGAATCTTCGGGCACTCAGTTTCGTCTGCATTTTTTTATTACTATTCCAAAATATTAAATATTGATAAATTAAAAATAAAGTTTATATTTTTTTTTCAAACATTTTCAAAATAAACCCCCAAATTATTCGTATATAATTAATTTAATCCTAAAATATCATGTTATCCCAATTTAAGCTTTGTTCAAATAATTTTCTTCCTACTTAAAATAATTTTTTAGCAAAAAAACTTTTTAACTAATTTTTTTATAAAAGAAGCTATTTTAAAAAACAATAAAAAAATCTATCACAAATGAAACCTTAACCTCTAATCTATACAAAATTAATTCAAAACTATCCCTCATAATTATAATATAATCGCTAAAAGCTAATGTCTTATAACATTATACTCTACAATTAAAATAATCTGATGACTATTTTAAATTTCACCTTTTTTGAAATATATAGTAATTAACTTTATCGTTTAAAAAAAATTATTATTCGCTCTCAATATTTTCTTATCATTCTCATAATTTTATTCCAATATTATATTATTATGGTAATTCATTTCATGTTTTATTTTATTTTTTCATAAAATGATAAATGGATTCAAGAGTTAGCTCAAACATGCTAATTAAGTTCAAATTAAAATAAAATGTTAAAATTAAAAAAAATTTAGTCAATATATCCTAATATAAATTATTTCATAATAAAATCATTAAATCTATTTTGCACTACAATATAATTTAATCGGACATTATTTAAATTTCAAATTTACCTATTAATAACAAAATTAGAAAGATACAAGTCAGATATTTGTCTATAGTATACCAATATTTAAAAAGTGACATGTAATTCTACCAAATTAAAATCATAATCTTTCAATTTTAAAAAACAACCAAAATTATTATCACTATAGTATTTTATGAGCATATTATTAGCAGTTCATCAATGTATGAAACATATATAAAATGATGAAAAAAATGGAAATAATGGCCATGAAATTGCAAACTTTTCACCTCTCACAGCTCAATCAGAGCAAAAATTAAGGAAAATAATATTACAGTGAATCCCACAATTCTAAGCACATCTCTCTAGCACAAGAACAGATAAAGGAATGAAACAATGTGAAAATAGAAGGAACAAGGCACGAACAAACCATTTTAAGAGCTATAAAATGCATAAAGCTTAATTATGAGCTTGCAGTAAAGCCAACCTACAAAGTTTTTAGCTCAGTAGATGAGGAAGAAAGCGCAATGCTTAGTATAAAGCCAACCAATAGTCCAACGAGCCCAGCGAAAGCAGCAAATGTTAAAGAAAAGCCTGTATTACTTTGGCGAATATTAAGTCTCCTTAGCAATTCCTGAAATATATAACAAATAATAAGAAAATTATAGAGGATAGAAGAAATATTTAATTATTATGAGAAATTCAAGATGCATTTGTTTAACTCTGATTAACATAAGGAAAGCATTCTAAAACTTTAACATAATAGCATAAAACAACGATTAATAAAGTTAAGGCAAAGAACATTTATGTCAGGAATCAGATAAAAAGAGATGAGCTTAAAACTATTTTTTTTTAAGACATCCAAGGAACACATCAGCATTTTGGTCATATCAATCTAAGGGCTGTTTGGTAGCATCCATGATTTAAGTTAAGTAGGATTTCATAAATCCGCTAAATCCGGATTGCGGAAATCTTGAGAGGCCTAAATCCCGAAAATTATTTGGTAACATTCATGATAAATCCTATTAAATCACATGTAACCGTTTGGCTATAGAATATATTTAACGAGCAAATTTTCCTTTAGAGCCAACGGATTTCATAAATCCGGCAAAATACAGGATTTCGTAAATCCAGCAAAAAACAGGATTTCGGAAATCCGGGATTTAGCACAAAAAGGTGGAAATTTCCGTCTAAGGCGGCTTTCATTTGCCGTGAGATTTGGATTTGCATTTTAGGCCGTTTGGCTGGATTTCGCTCAAATCCGCCTCAAATCCCGCCTAAATCCTGCTACCAAACAGCCCCTAAAAGTATGCTCGTTAGAACTTACGTGGAGTTGAAGACTAAGACTTCATGTGGGATGGCTTTCTTACTGCTTCTTAAAATAATTTTCTAGTAAAAAATTTTAATTTATGTACTAGAAAGCTGATTTAAGAAGCAATAAGAAAGCCATCCCAAACGAAGCCTAAGATGAGTACATAAATATTTAATTCATAACAAAGTAATAACAGGAACTTTTACATGATTTTTTCTTCTGAGGAGAATGAGAAGCCACAGGCTTAATGATTTTTCCCTGTAAGAAACAAATCCTAACCCGTGCACTTTGTTAAACTGTAAAATTCCCATTTAACATACAGAGAGAAGTCCACAAGCTCAAGCTCTCAACTCCAAAGGCTTAATTCAATTTTCTGAAGTTAATATTTGCCACAAAGTGCATGTGATTCAAATGATAGAAGTTCATAAATTTAAAGCAAAATAAGCATTGGAAGCAAAGGCTAGAAGAGAGAACAAAAGCAAAATACCAATTCTCGTTGCAATTGCTTATTTTGCTGAAGAATAGCTTCCCTTTCATCTCTCAAACGCTGCAGTGCCTGAATCTGCAAAAATAAAGACAGGTTCATGATCATTCCAAATGTCTGATGTGGAAGATGGGTTAGGATGATCAATTAATAAACACGTTATTATTTCTGAAGCTTATTTTATCAGAACCTGTAGAAGAATCAATGAATTAATTTGTTTTGATGGTTGAACATACATCACAACGATGAAAGATAAATAAACGGCTTAGATAGGATGAAAATATAGATTCAGAAGTTTCTGACCATGCTATTACAGATCAAAGGTAATATGAAGGAAACTGGGGCGCTCGGTTAGGCAGGCCATGGGCCTCAATGAGAAACATTAATGAGGTTTTGGCTAGGCGAGCACCTTGGCTTGAAGCATCAAACAATAAGAAGTGCGCCTTGCGTTGATTGGAGAAATAGAAGTTAATATATACTTTAAATTTGGAGAATTAGCTAGTTTTTATGATGAAAATTTGATATTTTGGTGCTGTGAAATGAGCATTAAGAGCTGAAGAAGCAAAGGATGCGCACTAAAAACAAGAAAGTTATATCAAATATATGTGGAAAAGCTTCAATAAATAAATAGTAAACCTTAAAGAAGAAAATTAGGCGTCCATAAAACTTTCTAATCCATCAATAGAGAAGAAAGCATGGATAGTGATTGAAGATGAAAAATATAACAGTGAAAATCAAATTATCTCCAGGTTGTGAATGCTAGAAATATAAATAGTGTAACCATTGAAATTATTTAAATGTTTCTTTTGAGAAATTTTTTTAAGGTAGTCTATTTAGCTAAGATTTAGAATCAGTAATGTAGAAATGTTTATTAAAATGAGATGGACATTCCTTTTTAGTGCCTTCAGTAAGCACCAAGGGTGGCACTCTAGCACTTTGGGCATTAGATAGCAATATCGCCTTGAGAGCACCCAAAGTTTTTGATAACATTGTGTGATAGTTTGCTTATGCCGAGAGAGGACAAAGATAAGTTGGACCACACCTTTATTTTTCTATTTGTTGTAGCTTTATACTTCCTGAAAACTTAAGCCAGGGGTAACTTTTAGAGAAATTATTATGTGAAGATGCCGGACGTAGCTCCATGTTCGGAGGCAAATCAGGTGCAGCCACATCAGTGGTACCGAGCAGTACTGATCCGTGGTAGCGAGCAAGGGTGACGTGGCACATTCTGATTGATCGTCGGACGGCATTCGGCATCCGTACAAAATAATTTTTCAACTTTTAGAGGGATATCCAAGTCCCAATGATTACCCAGTAACTAATTCAATTACAACTAGTGCTGATTCAAAGCTAAAACTTCCGAAGCTTTCACATCAGCACCTCCCCAGCATGATGAATCGACTTGAAGTCTATCCATGCATGGATAACATACTAAAGTGAGTGATATGACTTTGGTTAAAGGGAAATAAGGCGCTGACCACTAATCAAAGTTATAACATACTGTAGTTTAAATTACATGATTTAGTTCTGATAGTAAATCTCTAGAAAGCGTAAATATAGCCTTTTATTGCAATTGAAAGAAGAAAAAAAAGTTCAAAGACAAAAGCATTCACAATTGCAAAGCAAAGTGATTCATCACATCACCATGGTTCATTTCATGCATGAAAAAGCAGGAAAAGAACTTCACAAGACGAATTATATGTAAACCAGTGGTAGGATAAGAGAGGTGGCATTCACCTCTTCAAAGCTCGACTTCCTGACAATCTACAAAGTCAAGAAAACCGAAGAAAAATCATTCTCCTTACAAGTTATCTGAAACCCAAAAAGGGAGAAGGAGAAACAGAGTATCTTACATCAGAACCTCTCATAGAAAGCATAGATGCTGAACTAATTCCTGACAACCCCTCATAATTTAGATGACCAGACTGGGGGGAAATATAAACCACCCTAAGCTTGCATTCTTCAATCACCTTCTCCCCATCTTTGATAAACTGCATGCAACCACAAAGAGCATAACAACCAGCCTCTTACTTAAAAAAAAAAAGATAAAATCAAATAAAAAAACCATAGATTCAGCACCGTATCAGGAGGGATTTCATCAATATCAATACTTGGTTGAACTTTTGTGCTCTGAAGTAGAAATTTATCCATGCACTGCATGTCTGGGGGGTATTCCTTTTGAGCTTGAAGAGTAACTACAATTAAAAAAAAAAGGAGAAATCCAAAATAAATCAGCAAAACGGGTCTAAATAAGGCAAGAGAATATAGAAAAAAATAAGCAGAATGCGGATCACAACCAGTTATGGTACATGAATCCCAAGGCTGAACCACGCTGGCATTCGGCCGCACGAAATACTTCTTCGGAGAAGTGGTTTTGACCTAACAAATTTAAAAAATCCCCAATTTTATCAATTTTTTAATGCAAAGTGAAAGTTTTGATTGCTGAAAATAAAATCGACAAATTCCAGGTCCTTCTGACCTTGAAGGCGACATGGTGCTCGGTGTTGTTGACAATCTTAAGATTGCAATAAGCCGGTTTTTCCAGCTCGACTGAGATCAATATTAGTCAACATGATCATCGTCAAAAGATACAAAGTATATTTTTGATTGGGGAAGAGAAAGAGAAAATGGAATGGAGAGAAATTACACTCGAAGGTAAGCTCTTCAGGGTGAACCGAGATCAACTTTCCACCACCCATCTTCGCTGCCGGCTGATCCAAAACCTACACCACGATAATCGAATAAGGGTGGAAGAACAAAAGATTTGGAAGAACATGATCGCAGAAAGATTCGAGCCAGCAAACCTTTACGTTTTGCGTTCGACCGGAGACAACGGACTAACGGAGAACCAAGAAGGCGTCCGGCTACGAATACCAACTCAGAGAGAGAAAGAGAGAAGGCTAAGAACGTTGAAATGGTTTCGAGTTCACTTCCACGGAGAGAACGACGGAACAGCTTCGATAGCTGAAAAAAACAAAAAATATTACACACCATTAGACTAAATTAGCAAGAATTAAAACAATTTGTCAGTTTGCACGCCCGCGGCATCACCTGAGGTCCATGTGGACCACATCATTTAACGCCCATCACATATTTTTGTAATTTTTGCAAGGCTTAATATTTTTTTAAATAATAAAATTTAATAGTAGATAGTTCTAGCAAAATTATTATGCGTCATCATCAGATGCCATTCAGAAGCGGATCAATATTCTATATCACCAATACGCTATGCATCATTACTGTATACCGTTATGTATAAGCTAATGTAGCTCATCATGTTTGACCTCCGAACAATTCGATAACTGCACGATAATAATCTCTCCTATACCTAAAAAATATTACTTTTTGATTAGCTGATTGATTTAATGTTATTAAATATTTGTCAAAATTTTGAATTAGATAGCATCTAATTTGTATTAAATATGTGCAAAAATTGATATATGAAATAGAACTTTTTTTATTAACTTTGTTTTAAATAAAAGGCAAAACACTATCTTTCAATAAATTTGGATGTAATCAAACAACAATTACCCACCGCGGGGTGGCCCGGTGGTGGAGACTTGGCTGGCCATAGGCCAGGTCCCAAGTTCGAATCCACTCGACGCTTCGTGACAGCCTTAAGTGTCGGCCCTGTAAATTGATGTGGGTTGCATGCTAGATCGACCAGGGAGATTAATGGCCGAAGGCCGACACTCCCTGCCCCCCAAAAAAAAAAAACAAAAAAAAAAAACAAACAACAATTAAATTTGAATTCCTATCCTAAATAATAAAAAACTCTATACTTTTTGGAATTTAAGTACATACCATGTTAGTAGTCAAGGATTATCACTTCCCAATGTAAATCAAGGCTGTTATTAATAAAGACCAAACAGCAACGTACTTACATACGTTCTAAAAAGATTTTGAAATCTCAAGTATTTTAATAAAGGCTTAATTTGGGGCAGCTATTTTATTGATTCTTAAAATAATTTTTTAATATAAAAATAGTTTTTTTACTAGAAAATTGCTTGTCTCAAACTATAATCTTAAAATAGCATGCAATTCAAATAGTCTCAAACCCATAATCACTAAAATGGGAGATATAACTCCCGACTTACAACTTAGGGCTCGGTTTGGGACAACTTTTGATCACTATTTTATTTTATTTTATTTTTGCTACTTTCAAAATAAATTTGTGCCGCCCCAATCCACCAGCTTAAGTTTTTTTTAAGACAATTGAGCCATTACAGTTGCGTTTGGGACGGCTTTCTTGTTGCTTTCTAGTAAAAAAAATTTATAATTAAAGAAATATTTGTGCTAGAAAACTGCTTTAGAAAGCAGCAAAAAAACCGTCCCAAACAAAGTCTAAGTCAAACGCGCACACACAATACATACCAATTTAAAATAAAACCATCATTAACGACACATTACCAATAGCCATAACTTCATAATCACAACATAACTAAAACAACATCAGCCATTTCAGTTATTTCATTACTCAAAAGAACACAGACGAACAATAAGAAAAGACATTAGATGGTCGCCAAATATAAAACAAACATGTCATAAACAGGAAAATACAATTGAAATTTTGAAAAGATTATCACTTGAATGTTGAGAAGCGAGGCAGCTTATCTCTCAAGTAATAGAGCCTCGCTCTTCTGACCTTCCTGTGCTTAACAACTCTGATCTCCTTTATGTTAGGCGAGTAGCTGGAAGAGATTTCATGCGTAAAATATAGTAATATCAATAAATGGGATCTCTAAAATTTGAAATTTATTAGAGTGAAATAAGCTGCAGTAAGGGTAGTTCAGAATCCTAGCAAAAAGAGTTAAACTGCACCTGAAAATTCTCAAATGCTCGAAGTTCTTTCATAGAAAGTACAATGAAACTACAGATGATGGGTTTTTTTAAATAAAGTGACAAAATTAGCATGCTTTAATGTTTTATAAGCAAAATCATAAACAATGGGTTACTTACAGGTAAAAGGAAAATGGATGGTTGAATTCATCATATATGCAGGAAAGGATCACAGAACAACTGGGAAGTCCTTATGAAGTTGCAGACAAATTTTGCTTAAGAAAAGAAAAAAAAAAGATTTCTGTGGAGTAATATGGTATATTTTCTGATGCCTAGCTCTTTTAGCTTAAACATGGCTTGATGAGGGATTTTATCACGGAAAAGACAAAGCAATCATTAGATAAAGATGACTAACATAAGAATTGAAAGAGAGGAATGCGTGAGGAGAACTCCTCACGCATTCCTCTCTTTCAATTCTTATGCTGCTACTCAGATGGTTCAAAGTCCAAATCAAACTAACAATATGAAGATGAATATAATATCTGCAATAATTCTCCTTCCCTTTTCATCCAACACTATTGTTGTATGTGCAGCACCTCGATCTGCACAAATAACTACGCATGCATGTGTCTAGTGCATTAATCTTGTTAGTTATTGTGAAATCTGATTGTGTAGATCAATCGAGTTGTACAATTACCCCTGAACTCAGTTCAATTTCTTGCTAGCGGGGTGCCAAGGTTCCCCCCCGCTTGCATTCGAGTGCTTTGCACATAAATTTTTTTTTTACAGCATCTCGACGCTATATGCAAGAGCGCCCTGACATTGTGTACCAGAGCGCCACGATGGTGCACCCGAGCGCCCCAGAGCAGAGTTTATAAGCACCCCGATGCTACAAAGTTTGTTGGGAGAAATGGCAGAGAGCGTAGCGTCACAATGCTGTTGTTGACCTCCTTTTTGGCAATCGGTTACTTGCATGGTCTTGTCACTTGCATTTCGTAGGTCGATATACTTGTTTGCACGTTGCACTATTGTGTCTAATGGAAGCTCAAATCATGCATTTACCTCTAATCGTTGTCGGCTCTGGAATTTATTTTCTTTAATCATGTATTGTCATTTTATCATGTTTTAAAACATATGTGATCGGGTCGACACCGAGTTAATGAATATTTTACGTACATTTGAGCCTTTATCGCACATGCTGGTTTCATGCGTAAAATCTTTTGATCGGGACCTCGTCTTATGAAATGGACTGCACGAGTACATCCGACTCGTCGAGATGAATCAAAGAGGTTTACTTGCGCTCAAATTGGACACCATTTGATGCATGTCAAGGAGAGAGAAAAGTGAGATTATTATCATTATTATTATTTTTATTGTTTAAATAAAAAAATGAGGAAATAAATATTTATATATTTTTTTCTAATTAATTTAAAATTAAATAAATATAATAAATAATATTTAAATTAAAATTTAAAATTAAATATATATCCTCTTGATTAATTTAAAATCAAACAAAATAAAATAATAATAATAATAATAATAATAATAATAATAATATATTTAAAAAATACATGATAAAAATGAGGTGTCATTCAAATAGATTCTTTAAATTAAGCTTAAATACAAATTATTTTTAGCCATATCCTTTTATATGTATTTTAATCAAGTAAAATTCATCATCCAAGTGCTAGTTTTAAATTTTCTCTCTTGTTTTTGGGAAGAGGAGAGAAAGCTACAGCATACAGCAAGAATGGACCTATAATATTCATTAAATAATAGCTCGTCCCGCACAAAAAGATAGAAAACTTTTATCTCCCAAAGTATTTTTTCTAGTCTCCACATCTCTTTTTTCTCTGACATTCAGGTACAACAAGAAGGAAAAAAACATTCAGGTACAACAAGAAGGAAAAAAAAGGCTCTCATCACAAAGAAAAAAAAGGAAGCCCTCTCTCACAGAACGGATTCCTTGGCTCTGATCTCACGTAAGCAATTTATCTCTCCCTAGCTCTCATTCTCTCAGGTTTATTTAGGCAAAACAAACCGAGCAAAGTCGAGCTGTGCAAGTGCTTCATGTTCGAGCTCATTTATTATCAGCTTGTTCAAACTCAGTTCAAGCTCGATTCGAGCTTTTCTAATTTTGTTCAAGTTTGGTTTATTTAAAATGATACATGTTTAAGTTCGTTTCATGTCTGATTCGTTTTGTGTTTATCATGCTTTAAACAAAGAACCTTATCAAGCCTGCTAACAAATAATTATTTAGAGTTTGTTTACAAACATGTTTATCAAGTTTTTTAGCTTCCAAAAAGTATGTTCATGAACCTATCTAGTGAGTATTATAGAGCTACCAAACGAGCTCATTCACAAACAAACAAGAACAAAAAATTTATTCTTCTTATAAACAAGCTTGTTCGTGAACACATTAAATAAACAATCCAATAAATATAAACAAATAACCCTTGTTCATGAACAAATTCCTTTTATTAAAAGAGTAACATAAAAATTTGAAATTAGTTTTTCATAAAATAAGAATCATTATTAATATAAAACTAAAAGTTATGCGAATATAAAGCAAATAAAGATTTATAACAAGATTTAATCGATTCTTAACGAGCTTATTCACAAGCTCTATATTAAATGTTAATTGAGCTTCTTAATGAGATTTAAATCATACTTTTTATCGAGCTTGTTCGCGAGCATTAATTAATATAGTTCATGAACATAAACGAGTTAAACACAGTTGTTCAAACCTATTATTTAACAATCAAGTATTTTAAAATAGTTCAAACTTTTTTGATTACTTAAATAAATGATCATAAATGAGCTGTAATTGAACCGAGTCATGAGTAGCTTATCAAACGTTCATCAAGATCTTTAAGACAAAAGGGCATATCAAAGTAAGGTTAGTTAATCTGTTGAAGTTAGATTTGTTAAAAGCAACCTGGCATCCAAAATAAACTAGAACTCAGTCAATCCAAATGATACAATTCTTGATGGTATTTTAATACCCTCCATAGTATATAAACTTGTAGGTTCACTTGGACGAACTAGCTCAGAGTGAGAACTTCCAAAAGGATGAATTTACTAAGGAATTAATTCATTATATCATCTTAGGAAATGTTGAGCCTTCTTAAGTCTATCCTAATCTTAAACATTTTTCTTGGATGGAGCTGTTTTTCTTTTCAAAATAATTTCAATTTTATATTACTCACTTGCCAGTTACCATGCCTAAACAAGTCTACTTGAACCTTGTTGGTAAAACCTAATCATAAATGAAGAACTTTCCCATGTGCTGACCACAAACCTAGTCTAAAATGTTTAGAGTTGACTAGAAACCATTCGTGAAAAGGGTTGATCCACTAATTCCTCTTTTGATGTTATGCAAGGGCATAGCCCTAACAGAATATAATAACAGCAATATTAACCTTATTATAACCAATCCAAATACACTTAAGCTCTTGGGACAATCAAGGAGTTGAAGATCAAGCTAATCAACCGAGTTGAAATCCTTATTTAAGGAAGCACATCTAAAGGGGCATATTATCAGGACTCTAAAAGGAGGTGTAAACCCAAGATATTTTGCACTCAATAAGTAAGCATAGCCTATAGGCATAAAATGATCGAGCATAACCTATGGGCCAGATAGTTCAAATCAGCCCTCAATGGTCAAGCATAACCCACAATCTAAAACCAAACCCAAATATTACAAGGTATTGTCAACTTTACAATTTTATCCTTATTGGCGCTCCACACGAACACACTTAACATTGGAATTCATAATAAAACATGAATTGTTGCAGCAAAAGATTCTCCACATATAAGCTAATCCTTTATTTATATAGCCCAACAATTTAGCTTTCATTCTAATATATATGAAATTAGGTTTCTATTGGTCCTCTTCCATCCTAGAAGCATGCCAGAGCCTCTCCTTGTCCAATCCTTGCCCCGACAATCTCTCTACCCTCATCAAATTTTCGGATGCCAGTGGCCAACTAACTTTTGCTTAGTTCACCCTCAAGGTACACATGGCGTTGGAGAAGATCTAGCTTTGTTATTAATTGTAACAACCTAGCTAAGATATTATGAGATTTTATCCATTTTGACCCAACCTATGCTAACCTAAATATCATGATTTTATCCTTCTTAGTGCAACTCCACACGAGGACACCCATCACAGGAATGTTTCAACATGAGCATGTTTAATGTTAAAATTCCCAATGAAATTCTAATTGTCATACCAAAAGTCACTCATATATAACCTAACAAACTTTCCCCTTTTATGTAGTGGGATTATATTCATTCATGTCCTCTTTCCATCCTGAAATCCTACAAGCACCAGCATCTTATGTGATTCTTTGTTTCAATGATCATAGCCTACACTCATTGCACTGTCCTCATAAGATTATGGGATATCAAAGGCCCGATAGCTTCCATTTTATTGGTCCTCAAACCACACATTATAGTAGAGAAGGTTTGACTTTGATATGAGTTGAAACAAACCAACCCAAAAAAATTATGAGGTATTGCTAACTTTAGCTCAAACCAACTCATGCTAAGTAGAACCTCACACTTATCCAGATGGTGCAACTTTTTAGGAGATGGGTTGAACATAAGCTTACTTAACTTTGAATGTCCTAAGGACGTCCAACTATTATACTAAAACACGTCGCATATCTATTGAGAATAAGCCTTTACTTATGTAGCCTAATAACTTCTCTCTTTTTTAGAAGTGGAATTAGGTTTGTTATTCCAAAACTTTCCATCCTTAAAACCGGCCAAGAATTGCTCTTTCTTTGCCTTTTAGCCTGGTGAGCGTTGCACTGGCCACATCAAATTTCAAAATTGTTTGACTATGGGTCTCTAAAGCTTGAGTTTAACTTTAAATGGATGAGCAAAGTTTACTGGCTGAAAAAGCTCAACTTAGGCTTAAATGATTGATCATAGACTAAAAAGAAACATTCTTAGCAAATACATTAGAAACAATAACAAGTGGTAAATGAGAGTGGTTATCTGAGAAGAACAAATGTTGATTACCTATCATACATGAGAAAACACTAGAATCCAAAATAAAAAATATACCATATGAGAAAGATGCAGCAAAACTACAGGAAAAAAAGAGAAACAAATATAAAGGTCTACGAGCTCTAAAATCAAACGATCATAATCCTTTGAAAATAGCATGATAGATCACTAAGAATAGAGGATTTTCACGCCGGTTGCAGATAAAACTTTATCATTGCTACACATGACTAAACAGAAATAAAGAAAATATGATAATTCTAGGAATTTCAAGAGATGCATGCATCTATAGCCTACAAATTAAGCAAGTTATATTTTTCATTGTTTTTGGAGACAATTGTTAAACATGCAAGACTTTTTAATTAAATCACTACCATTATTGAGTAATATCAGCATGGATTCTAATATTCAAAAAACTTCTATACAAAATAAAATAAATTGACTTGTTATATTTAGGCCATCTCCAACCGAAAAACTTAATTTTCACTCCAAAATACAGTAACTCTTCTCCAAAAGAACTCCATTTTATAACACCCAAAAAAGAATATTAAGTGCATCTTTCTCCTACTTTATTTAACCTAATTTTCGGATTAAAAAAATAGCGGGTGACGTCGCACTGTTCGCCCTCATGTGAATGCCATTATTTTTGTCGATCGGCTGGAACAAACGACGGATGCCAAACGAGTGTTAGGTGTTTGGCTGGAGATGAACTTATATATATTCAATTACTCATTTCATTCCAGATCAAGAAAGAACAGACTAATGATTTTTACAAAAAAACAATCATAGCATTTTGTTAAATGCTTTTCTAAATAAAAGGAAGAACTTACATAGGGAAAACAATCTCAACGCCAATGCCTGCAATAATCCTCCTAATACGAATAGTTGTGTGAATTCCCGCGTTTTGCTTTGAAATGATTATACCCTTGTAAACAGAAAGCCGCCTCTTATTTTCTGGTACTTCCTGTAATCGGCAGACCTCAATATCTGATAAGACAATCAAAGCAACAATGAATTGATCAAAACTGAAAAATACACCAAAGTTTACCAATTTAATCTCCACAATATCTCCAGTCCTGAGGTCTGGCACTGGCCTCTGCTTTTCCGATGCCTCAATAGCCCTCTTGTTCAAAATCTATCCAGCAAAACAGCAGGAAACCATAAACGCAGATATCCAGCAATAAAAACCCAACCTTAGGAGCGAAATACGACATGCAAGGAAGAAGCATTCAGGATTGTAAGTATGACTCAAGATAGAAAATTACTAAAAAGATCAATCAATTTTCCTCGAAAAAAAAATAGAATAAGTTATGCTTGAGTCGAATCGTAATTAGACCAGGCTAACGTATAGTTAGGTTTAGCTCATCTCAAGATTAAATCCAATATGGAACCGATCTTGAGCCAGATAGACTGAAGTTTGGACCATTCACAGCTGAAAGAGAATTTACCCCCATAATGTCCCCGAGCTTGATTCTAGGTTTCCTGGGAGGCTTCTCCTCCGCCACCACATCAGCACCTTCAGCCGGAATCTCGCTCTCCTCTTCTGCATCCTCTACCTCCGCCTCGCCTTCCACGGAGTTGTCGCTCGCCGCGGAAGCTGTGAAATGTCGGAAACGGCGACTAAGCGGCGAAGGGAATCTAACTACTAAGGCATCGAGTGAGGAGCTAGGAAGCGGGGCGCGGCGAGGGGTGAGCGAAATTAAGGGAGGAGATGAGAAGATGGAGGGACTCAATTTCTTTGAGCAAGAGCAAGTTGAGATATGGGCAAGACTGTAAGACAACGCATTAGCGGCCATGGCCGCTTCTTCTCGGAAGTTAGATGAAGAAATAGGCCTTGTGATAGTGGATGCAAGGGCCGCTGGAAATGTTACAGGAGAGCCTTATCAACTGTCACAATATTTGAGTGTGTTCTCCGGCGTGTTTTTTTTTTATTATTATTTTTACTTTAAATATATATACATTCTAAATATTTAATTAATGAAACTAGCAAAGAAACGTTTTTTTTTTCTTCTATGTGAAAATGAGATAAAAGCTGAAAAAAATCTCAGATAAAGGTAAACCTGCAAGATAATCTCATTGCATTGGATAAAATATTAATGAATTTAGGGTACGTATGAGAGTTTTTTTTTATTTTATTTTTTTAGATCATAATTATAATTTCATTAAGTTACTATTTTTCAATATTTTCTAAAAAATTTTGTACTAAATTTATTTTTACAATAGCTTCCAGAAAAATGAATTATCCAAAAATAATTTTGATTTATTTGGTACAGCTTTTGTCACTAATTTTTAAACCTTTCAGGCTACCTCTATCTTAAAATGCAAAGACAGGCAATAATCGAGAATTTAAATTAAAAATATGACTAACAAAAATTTTATTTTATATTAAATTACTAAGAACACGAAATAAATAGATAGCATGAAAATTAATATCACAATTATTTATATGTTTGTCATAATTAGCAATTTTAACAAAAAAATAATTGATAATTATGTTACTTAAAATTAAAATAATTAAATTTATTGTCAAAACCGATTATATTTTAATTCATATAAAATCAAATTAAAATTTATTTCAATTTAATTTGATTTAAAGGAATAATTTGATCAATCTGATTTTCTAACTTTTATAATTAAAACCAGTTGATTTAACTACACAAATCATATAAGCTACGGAAAAGGCAGAAAATCTTTCCATAATCCATAAAAAAAAAAATAATAATAATAATAAATAAAAAAAAACCCTAGAATACCTCGGGAAGTCTTCATTCACATAACTAAAGCCTTCACACAATTATCTTATTCAAATCAACTAGAAAAAAACTAAAAATTTGTGTCGAGACATACAGAAAAAAAAAGTTATATTAAATTTTAAAATATTACCTTATTTTGAAATAAATATAATATAGAGATAATCAATCAAAATCTATATTTTATTTACCTTAAATAAATTCAATAAATTTAAACCCCATCTCGATAAAAAAAAAAATTAATCAGAATATGTTGATCCAATATATTCTGGAAAAACTCCACTGCCCGGATAAAAGAGCTAAGATTCAACAATAAAATTGGACCAAAGTAGCAGCGTCTGTTACTGCATGTATATGAGAACAAACCGAGACAGAAAAGCACTTACCAACTCAACGTTTGCTAAAGCTTATCCAAACATATAATCATAAGAAACTACAGCAAACCTCATAACTTTAGTAATGTCTATTTTTGAGCTTGGATCTGCACCGTTATCAAAGAAAGACAGAACAAGGTGAACTTTGAACTACCCAGGCAAACTCAAGATTGAATTGGCTTGATCTTGAAGTGGAGGGATATGAGGGAAAACACAAAACACTTCAGGTCCTGCATCCAAAAGTAAGATCAAAAGAGCATTTCATCAAAACAAATACCAAAGATAAACCACACTAAAAAAACAGATGCAATATAACTCTGTCTTATCGCAATGGATTCCATGGAAACAATGCCAATGAGACACAAGAACAGGTAAAATACTCCAGCTTATTGCAATATAATAAAATAAATCTTTTTTAAATCTCCATAATATCTTCCTATTATACATTACTCCTAAGAAGCTTATTCATATTAATCACCAAATGTTAACTCCTCGTTTATATCAACATTATTCAACATAATAGATCCAATTTACTTAAACTACCACATCCAAATATTGATTTATATTCTAATTATATTGATTGATAATTATTAATATCACGTATATCAAAATTATATATATATTTTTTATTTATTTTTCTACTAAGCCTTCGATTTCTAAGCATTCATCTATTATTCTAACTTTCCAAGGTAAGTGGAACTATTTACAAAATCAGCAAGGAACTACACAATTGGAAGAACAACAGTGGTTCAAAAGCATCGTCATATTAACCAAACTGACCAAAAATTTACATCAAAATTATTAGTAAATCAGCATATTGGTAAACCAGTAGGGAGATTCACAATAAGTACCAGTTAAATAAAATAAATATTATATGCTAAAATATCTATTGATCTGAACAAGGTGAAATCAAATCCCATCAATACTCCTCAAAACAGTCCCTCGACCGTTCAGACTAGACCAACTAAATCTCAAAGTATCACATTTTTCTAACTATTTCCTCATTTATAAATAATTGATCTTAAATGATCCATCAAATAGAAATCGATAGATATTGTGATACAAAATTGATCCCACTTTAATCTTTAAGAGATCAGCTAGGATAAATTTTGTATAATTAATAGACTAAATTAAAGAAATGTGTCACTGACTAAATAGGCCACATAAAAATACCAAAGGAACTATTTTAGACTTTCTCCCTTCTTGAATAATGTGATGAATCACAGTCAGATTGAGAAAAAAATCAAGAATTTCACATTATAAAACTGGGCAGAAAGTAGAAAATAAAATGGGACAAACAGCACATCCTCTCAGCATCATCCATAAACCAAATGGGCCGAAGATAAATTGTCAACTAAAGGTCTATTAGGCTGAAAAGAAGGTGCAAATATAAAAAAGGTGCAAGTAAAATAACTTAAGAGTGTTAGGGCTCAATTTTTATTTAGGCTATTTACTTAGCGAAACCCGTGAAAACAAATATACAATGCATTAGACGAATATTCTCATAGGCAAAGCTTCATTGCGAATCAAACACCCCCCCAAACAAATTTCTTTTAATATGCCTAGAGAAAGGCGTTTGAGTTCAGACATCAAAGGAAAAAGTATGTATTTAACTCGAATGGTTTAAATGTAATGGGTGAGAAATTTCTCATCACAGCGCCCCAACCAAAGCCTACATATCGAGAAAGAACAAGTGCCAAGAAAGACAAGAAGTTGAAATATCATTTGATCATTTCTGATTGGAATATTTGAGGAAGGAAGTCTACTTGTATATTAATTACTGCAGGTGTGGAGAGGAGCATTTGATCAGATAGGTATAGATCACTGTATGAGTTGAAATAGCTTTGAATTAACCTCAAGAAGAGAAAATTCAAAACAGATCACGCAAAGTTCATAAATTCATGGTCAATTGGTGCCATCGCTGAACCAGAAAAGGTTATGACCCATTTTACTGAGTGCCTTGTGCAGAAAAAAAATGAATCTGGTCAAGGAACGCCAATAATGCTTAGAGGAATTCATAGTGCAGATCACAGAATCACCATTCTTCAAGCTTCCAATATTCAAGGTATTCAAATTAACTTGTGATGAATCCTTTATAAATATTGGAGGCATGTTACAATCAGCATTTATGCATATCACAAGAACTCTATTTATGGCCTAAATCTCAAAGCTATTATGCAGGTAGTCAAAATACCTATCTTTAAAGAATTTATCCTGTATTCTGTATTCTAACCAAAAAAATTGAAGTGCTGCAACAATTCTCATAACTCAGTTCAGACTATGCAAGAATTTACTTATGCCATTGAACATTGGTTGGGGACTGAAATAGAGCGAAGATGCTCCAAGAAGAGTAAGTTTTCTAGCTTCCAAGCAAATCAAGGCAACTGATCCACCTTAAAACATAACCTAAATGAATAATCTGGTGACATAAAGCTTGAAATAAGCACGATATTTGGCAAGCAATAAGCATTTCAATAGTGTAATTCAAATGTATCACTTCATTTCTTATTCATAGAAAAAGGTTTGCAAGCATAAGAGAAAACCAATTTGAACAAATATAGAATCACAGGAAAGTGCCTTTCAAAAGTTAGTATTAAGGCCTGGTTGATAATGTATCAGTAAACCTTGATCAGAATGGATGGAAAGCTCTGACAAGCATAAAAAATTTTCAGGAACGACTAATCTTATTTACTTCATTCCTATTAATTCAAATAAGTGCACAAAAGCGTAAAAGAACAGGACGCAGTTAATCCTAGTCCTAAATTAATCACAAATGGTTGCCAATAACTCTCATTTCTGATTAACCGTTTTTACAACAGGCCGCAATTAAAAAACCTTCAGTAATTGCTTCTACTTCTGTAGGAAATTTACCAAATAAATACAACAGATGCATTAGGGAAAAACCATTTCTACTGGCCTTGATTAAAAAACATTTCCTTAAGAGGATCATAAAACAAATAATTTTAATAAAGCTTCTATTGAAATAAACAGTTTTCAGATTTAGTAATAACTTGTGATGCCTGAAGAACATTAGAATGACTTAACAAAGGATCTTGTTTCAAAGAACATCATGACTTGACTAGATCTTTGCAGTCATGGCTATGTTTTTTTTATAGATAGTTCATAGTTCACAACATTTATTTTAGGAAGACGTGATTTTAAAATTGCCCACATTTTCTTCTGCGAAGTTGACCAAATGGTCAACCTAAATCAACAGTTTCTTACTATTATCAAAGTTTCACAGTAACTTATGAAAATTCATGGAGGCTCATTAGCACGCAGCTAAGGTAAATCTTGGAGCCTATCATTCTCAGACGTGGTCCAACAAGGTGAAAAAATTATGCTTGAGGTATCTATTTGCCGTTTCATACTTCCATTGAAGAAAACACTCAGCATTTGATTTTATTCTGCCCCATACAGAATTAGCGCATAAAAATTCAGCTAACAGGAGTCAAGATCCAACTATATTTGGCATTTACAGGTCTAAAGAACCAAGAAGCAGCTGACCTTGTATTGTCAATTCTTGATATAGTATTAGTCAAGAAGCTGACGACTTTGCAAGAAATATCCAAAGAATTAATCAAAATGATGCCAGCAATGAAAGTATAAATCTAATACAGACTACGAATAAAAAATGGAATATTACGTTTATAATATTCTCAAATTACCCTGGTAACTCACATGTGCTGTTAACCACATCTCAGTCATGCATTACACTATCAGCAGTTAGAACGGATTAAATCAAAATTCCCCTGGTTTTAAAAGAAAGGAAGAAATCCTTCCCGACAGGATCTGAATTACCAATGTTAAGAAGGAGCAAACTTATGTTTCAACTTAGATCTGAACATTTCCTTGAAAGAGTAAGTGGAAAGACATTGTTCTAATCCTTACGCATGTGACAGTTAAGGTTTTGATATTAGTGATATCCAGTATTGCAAAAAGCACACTTTAAATGAGAAGCAAACCGATGCGGAAGATTCGCATACCGCAACCATTTTGGGTGTACGGAGAAAGCAGAGCACGCTGCTCAAGCGCAAAGTATTGTAGAAGCACTCTTGTGGTTTGTCTTTAGGTTGGCAAATCATAGCATTTAGGTTTGGCTCACAAATCCAGTTCAGTGATCAATTTAAGATATAAATAAAAGGGAGAGTGAACTTCAGCAAATGACTTAGGGATAGCAAAGCAAGGAGCATGAGGAGACGCTCAACCTACTTGTCCCCATTTTTTATTTTATTGCAGCAATAGTAGTGCTCGACCTTCTCATATTTATCTTTGATTTCTCCACAACATGCAAACATAGTAGTATCAATGCTTGATAATCAAATCTCTATCCTTTATTTCTCTTCCGCATTCAAGCAGACATCATCTCTTACCCGCCTTTGATTATTCCTCTATTTGAGACAATGCCGACGACTGCACTTCCTCCTCATACATTTCTCAACCTTCTCATATGCCTCAAGTATCTGGTATTAATTTATTTATATTCAATAATAATTTTTTAATTTATTTCACTAAGATAAGAAGTTAGAAAAAGGGTGTTATTATGTGATGTTAACATGATTTCTTTTATCAAGAATTTACTATTTTGAATTAGGAATATATAATGGTACCGATTTTATACAGAAACCTGATGCAATCAAATTACTTGTGAAATCTCCAAATTACTCTTGACTGAAATAACTTCTAAGAGCGTATAACTTTTGGGGGCTACACCCCTCTACCAACCCCCACATCAATCTTATTACGAAAGCCAATTCACCAATTATCTATGCATAAGAAGTATCATTGGAAGGCATTAATTAGACTCAACAACTTAATGACTAGTTAAATTCACTTCCTTTTAGATGTATTTTTTAATTAGAGATGCATTGTTCCGTTATAAAATTAATGATATAATTTATATAGTATTTTTTAATAAGAGTCTTAAATATGACCAATTCTAATGCGAGGAAAAAGTAACCAATTTGGAAATATACAACAACATCAAGCTTTTGTCCCACTACGTGGGGTCGGCTACATGAATCATTTTTCTCTAATGTGTCATGTTAAAAGTCAAATTCCCGTTTAACTAAAATAAAGAAAGATATTTTCTAATATTTTCTAATCAAGTCTTTTTAGGTCTACCCCTACCTTTCTTAATATAAGTCAAATCTAATATCTCAACTTTTCTAACCGGGTCATCGGAAGGCCATCCATTTATGTGAGTAAACCATCTAAGGCCACTGGAGCT